CGTTTTTTGATATCTCGTTTTTTGATATCTCTCGCCTCCTTAATATTTACATTAACAGCAATTTGTATACATGATTAAATTTGTTATAATAACTATTTCAAATGATGTCTGATAAAATTTCTTGAAAACTGTGAAAATAAGTACTAAATTACGCATTTCCAGTAACACCTAAACGTTATTTTCTCAAAAGCCGCCCCAATTTTTTTTGTATGGAGGTGGTTTTTTGTATGGGTAGTGCTAAATGCACAGAACAAGATGTCGTAAAACCCATTTTGCTACATTATTGTGTTTGTTTTTTCAAAACTTACGCTAAATATGTTTTTGAAATATCTCTCATGCTGTTAATATACACATATGTACTATTTACGTACTAACTGTATTTTAAGTCTACTAATTGGAATCGTTGTACTGCAATGGATTAATGTAATGGACAGTATTTTGCGGCCTTGCTCATTTCCTAGCAATAGCTCAGTCACAAAGGCATGCGTTAGAATGATTGTAAATTGGGATGACTGTAATGGGCATATGATAAATACACTTATGGAGTTAATATAATTCTTAAATGAAGATGGCTTCTATTGGCAACTGTTTAATTCTAGATTATCAAACAATGGAGCGATAGAGCATTTAAGTTCGATGAAATTCTCACAATTAACAACTCTAATGTTGCCACATTGACCAACAAGTCGCAATGATGATATTTGTTGCATACATGTGTTTTGTATTACAACGTTGACATGAAGGAATCAATAAAACAGATTAGTTAGTTTAAACAGGAAATGAGCAAAATTAGAACTAAAGAACAAAGAATCGATCGATGATTTTTTAACAAGAGCGAGGGGTATAACACGCAAATTGCAAGAATTAGGTGCTAAAAAAGAAAAGGAAGTTGAAAAAGAAGAATTGATTCAATATAACCTTAATGGGTTGCCAATATATTACAATGAAGTAGCAACGGTATTACTAGCAAATCATTTTTGAATACATGCGCGAGAATCTTCGTGTGATTGCGAAACGTGTATACTTTTACGTTAATACTAAAATTTACTCGAGCTTCACACAAGAGCATTCATGAAGGTACCACGAATCAAATATTGGAGAGATTGTATGTAGTTCTGGTTGGTCCGATGCCTGTTAAGATAATAGGAGGGAACAGATAGATTTTGATTATTGTGGATGAGAATAGAAGGCGATATTTTATAGAGTTATTGAAACTAAAATTGAATTACGCAGATAAGATTAAAGAGTTTCTGATAAGAAGGGAGACAGTAACAGGTCTCAAAATAAGAAGTGTGAGATCTGATAACGGGGAGAATTCTTAGGATCGGAGATAATTAATTTCTATAAAAATAAGAGTATAAAGTACGAAAGAACTACCCCATACTGTCTTCTCAGCAACGGGATTGCTGAAAGAGCAAGTCGTACAATTTTAGACATGTCCAGGACGTTATTGATCGATTCATGGCTGCCAGTCAATTTTTCGGGAGAAGCTGTACAAACAAGAGTATACGTTCGTAATACGAGTATTACACCAACTTGCCATGACAAAAAGAAAGTTTCATTGGAAATTTGATCAGGGCGAAACCCAAGCGTGCAACATTTGCGAATATTTGGTGCAAAGGCTAATTATGGGAACGCTGATCCTGAAAAAAATAAACTGAGAGCAAAACGTAAATTTTCGTGGGATACGCAAGAAACAAAGGAGCCCATAGAATTTTTGACCAAGAAGAAAATTGTATTATTGAAACGAGAGATGTTCATTTCTTGGAACATTAGTAGTAAGGGCATGCGAGAAATAAAGACATATTGCAGGAATTCGATAATGATCGTATAACAAGTTTTCAACTGGCATAGTAATAAGCAGATTAGGAGGTGAAGAGAAGGGGGGATCGAAAATGTAAGGGCAGAGGCGTTGGTGCGGACGATCTTCTGTGGCGCCGTTTGATTTCAGGTGCTGAGGAGGCCAAGCACTGGAAGGAGACGGCGGGACGCCCGCGCCAGAAAATAAATAGTTAAAATAACGTCGGATAGATTAGAATGTACTCGGATTCTGACGGCAGGTTTTTCCCCCTTCAGGGTTTTTTTCTTGAGCCGTACCTTATGGTCTCTTTACCGCGGCTTTGATGCGATGGAGAGACCATTTGGGGTGAATACCAGAATTCGAAAGATTAGAACGCGAAAGGATATATGTATTGTAATGGCTTAAAGGCCTTCGGCCTAGACACATGGGATCAAGTAATCTAATTTGTTTGTAATAATTACCTATTAAATAAATAAAATAACAAGTTTTCAAATAAGTGCAAATGTGGTTGATTGTAATAGCGATGCTTCTGAAATGGAGCTCAAGAAACAAGTGAAAATTGGAAAAAAACTAAAAACTGTTCAACATGAAGTTGTTGAAAGAGAACAAATGTACGATAATTTGGTAGTTTAACCTGAAACTCAATATATACAAAATGAAGTGAGTACTACAAATCAATTACGAAGATTATCCATATTAAGAACTCCAGTTATTAGATATCAAGCGGCAGTCAGAATTGGACGAAAATTCCCCAAAGTATTCTTACAAAGCGATGAATTGCACGAACAATTCTAATTGTAAGAGAGCAAACAAAAAGAAATTAGAATGTTTACGTCTAAATGCAGATGTGTTAACAAAAGATAAAAAACGCACTAGTTAAACATATGATGTCTATGGGAATAACGCGTTCTCGGCGTTCTCCCGCATCACACGAATGGGGCGAATTGTTGCTTTCATGTGGTTTGTATTCATTGTGATAAGGTATCTGTTAGTAAGTAACAGTTTACCTGTAGTAGGTAAAAGCAAATGTACATATTGTTCAGTAACTATGTACAAGGGCTTCTCACTTGTTTCTTAAGCTCCGAATTGATTGATGCAATAAAAGCTCAATGTTCAAATGCAAACCTGCACATTACGCGAATATCATCCGTAATTAGTACGAATTCTGAAGATAACAAGAAATAATATTTTCACAATAATTAAAGAAAATAAATCTTATTTACAATATGAAAGTTAAATGTAGTTCTAACTAACCAAAACATAAGCAAAATTACGCTTCTTTATGATACGTATATTGTGATTAGAAAGGCAGAGGAAGGAAACAGTTGCATCTTGGATGTGGATGACGGGAGTGCCTTGCACCAGATACCCCGTTTCGTTGCTTTAACTTGTTAGTTGATGTCTTCTTCAGCAGGGTAGAGCTTTAATACTCATCCACTCTGCGCATCTGCCAGGGGATCCAGCGCCCCGGAGGAGGGTTGTTCATATTGTGTCGTTCATAATGACGCCGGATGGTAGTGGAGTTTTGGCCACAGGTAAGAGTCAGAAGTAGGTAAGCCGTTACAGCAAACTGCGGCGGCCTGATGAACAATTAATGGCAAGTTCGAAGCGTGGTTAGACGCCCGTCGTGTCAGTGTGTAGCAATTAAATGTAAACACACCGTTTGTTTACACCAATCCATCCAACAGCGAAATCAAAGAAGGATGGTTGAGATGATTTATAGACTTTGACTAACACGTTTGACACGGGTAGCTGTGACGCTGTCATCTAATTGGGATTGCGAACGTCACTATAGTAACGCCATTATGGTGACGTTGAAGCACTCGATTGGATGACAGTCACAGATGACCAAGTGTCAACGGGCCTAACGTTTTATTCGGTGTATGGAAATATTTTGTTCCGCATTCATAGCCATCTTGAGATGAAAAGTGTCCAGCCTCAAGTAGTGCGACCGCCCACGTGTGGTCCCAGTGACCGGTTGGGCGCTCTTCGCCCATTTACCTGTCTGCAGCCCCTGAGCGACCGCTTCTTGTGCGGGCAGCTGCGCCAGCAGTAGCAATCCCACACGTGGTTTCGAGACGAACTCGAATCGGAGGCGGGTTTGTTTTCAGGGTTGCTTGACTAGGGTAATTTATGGTGGCTTACCTTTGAAATGATATTATGATGCGTGATATGAGCACATTTCTTCACCATAATAGAGCGTTGCCTGAAAAGCGCGCAGACGCCAAAAGGTTATATAGACAGAAAGTTGTCATCAGGCGTATGCCTGAAAGCGTCGCTGAGTTTAATGTCCTTTACATCTGCGCAGCCCCTTCCGTCGGTCGGGCGCTTGTCGGCACTAGCGCCGTCGCCTTCTCAGCCCTCGTCGAGTGCGGAACTTAGGCACCGTCTCTTCTGGCAAGTCTGTTCAGTCAATTCGCGACTCGTCTCGCATTATCATGATGTCGCGAACTCCCGAGTGACAGCCACTTGGAGCCATTCTCGCCTCGCGTACGCGGCGCCGAGTCTCTAAAACCACCCACACGTCCCGCTTCTTCGAGCCTCTGAAACCTTCTCCCACACGTGCGACTTCTCTGAGTTTCTAAACCCTTCTCCCACATCTCCGGCTCCTCCAAGAGTCTGAAACCTTCTGTCTAGTCTTCTTTCCGCTGTTCACCTGCACTCATCTCCCCCCTCTCGTCTCGTGTTTCTAACCGTCAATCTGATTGGCCCTTGTCCATTGTAGTCGGCGTGATTTGTCGATTTAGTCACGTAAATGGTGAATCAGGGGACTCCTCAGAATGTCTTGCGATACAAATCCCTTTCTATGATTCCCCAGCTCGTCCGTTACGTCGGGCAGGGGGATTCCGATTCGCTGTTTCATCTGTCATTGTCAATTACTGGAAGTCGACCCTATGTTTATCAATGTCACCGGCAGGGACGTTCCTTGGCATTTGTCAATGTGGTATCGCAGACGGGGACTCCCTGACAGCGCTCAAGGCTTGTGCGCTTGATACGCTACACTAGCTTGTTATCAGCTGACCAAAGTCTATGTTTTGTAAACAAAAATAAATTAACACTTGAGAATCAAGATTTTTAATTTTTAAATTCGATTGCAGATGCATCAGTTGTATTTGATTGTTCAGTATTCATTCAAAAATTTTCCACTTAATCTACAGACTTCAACGTTGAAGGTACATCATTTGCTCCATACCCCTACGCAATATTAATATAGCAACTTTAATGTTTCGTGCAGAATAACTCTTTTTACCATCAGGAACAGGGGTGAAGAACGAGGATAGACAAGGTAGAATTATATTATTTATTAATGTCACAGATGTAGATTACAAACCATTGAACTAAATTGTATATTTAATATTTTTGGTAACTTAGTTTGGTAAATTATATATTGTTGTAGTAGTGTGGTAGCGGTAGTTTTCGGGAGCACCATCATCATTCCACAAACAACAGAAAGTGAAGCTTGGATAAAATTATCCAGGATATCGTGGCATAAAACAGTGTCTTCAGGATCAGATGAATTAAACGTTTCCTGTGCAAAGATAATGAAATTAAGTTACAATTGCAAGAAATATTTTTATAAATACATCATAAATGACTTCTTTCTCTCTATCAACAAAACAGAAGGCCAATTTTTTAACAAAGTTAATGTGTTATTAGAAGAACCCTGTTTTGCTTGTGTTGCACTGTACGGACACCTCTCCATATTAAAAGTTTTTTTACATGAAACTTTCTCAAAAGAATTCGCGCTACACTATATTTTGAAGAAGAGTATTGCTTTCTTACTCGTATGTGAGAGTTTAATTTCGTTCACGCATCTTTGACAGGATACTACTAGTTCTACCATAACCTCTTGTCCTGGCCTCTAGTGTATAAGATCTATAAGCCTGTGCTTTGTTTTAATGATACTCAGCACTTACAATGACAAGCACTGATATGGGCCTCAGCGTGATGTTCGCGCAGCCTGAGGAAGTTAATTGAGGACTGTCCCTAGGGGAGCGGTAGTTACCATGATTCTTTTCAATAATTCATTCATAATACATTTCAACTATCATCAGTTTCATTCTTTATCACCTCTTTCATTCGTTCATTAATTCATTTCATTCGTTCGGCCAATCGTTTCCATTCATGCCTTCAGAGCGTACCTCTTATAAGCGCGAATGGCTTGAGGTATATTGCTGTCGGGTTCCTTCATGAGGTAGCGGCGCGTGCCGTGCAGCGCGTCCCTGAAGAAGGTCTCAGGTTCGATGCTCTCCACTTGGTAGGAAAATCCCTCACGGTCCTCTGGCCGCAGATTATTCTCCAAATTCAGGAAGCGGTTGTTCAAGAAGTTCCAGTTTTGCAGGAGGAACCAGGAAAGTGCCATGTTGGCCGAGTAGATTCGGCGCTGCAGGCGAATCAACCTGCGACACAGTGCGCACCGTGACTGGGATAGTGGGGAGAGACGCCCTCAGATTAGAAAATGACACCATCTCGTTTGCATCACGAAGTACTTTATGACGAATCCCAGGCGGATGAAGGAACAAGCAATAGACCCAACACTCGAGTTGAATATATATAGGAACCTACTATCTATCTATCTATCTATCTATCTATCTATCTATCTATATATA